GGCAATAGAGGGTTGCTCATGGCTAGTGTGTATGTGGAAGTGCCTCTGCACGTAACTTCTTGTGTCTGTGAAAACAAAGAGGAGGTCCCAATGCTCGATGAAGACCTGGAAAGTACAGATCACTACTAATGAGATGGCTTCTGAAAACAAGGTCAAATTGTACCAAAGCATCAGTTCAGTTTTAAGACCCACTCCAAGAACCAAAACTGTGGGTGCTCAGGCCCTTTGTATACAATGATAGAGAAAAAAATGACACTGTAGCTCACACCTGTAATCCAAGCACTCGGGAGACCAAGTTCCAGGTGAGCTGGAGCTGCAGAGTGAACTTTCTCCAAAAACTATGAAAGTCTCCCATGATCTTTAAATCCATGTGTGCCACGGCACACATGTAGAGGTCAGAGAACAACATTTGAAAGACAGCTCCTTTTGGGTTCCAGGGGTGATCTCAGCTTAGCCAACCAAGCATCTTTATCATGAGAGCCACCTTGCCAGCAATAGATGTAATTTTTAAAATGTATTATTATTGTATGTGTATAAAAACTATGAAAGTCTCCCATGATCTTTAAATCCATGTGTGCCATGGCACACATGTAGAGGTCAGAGAACAACGTTTGAAAGACAGCTCCTTTTGGGTTCCAGGGGTGATCTCATCTTAGCCAACCAAGCATCTTTATCATGAGAGCCACCTTGCCAGCAATAGATGTAATTTTTAAAATGTATTATTATTGTATGTATAATGCATGCATGCGTGTGTACGTATGGGTATGAATGCCACAATGTGTATGTGAAGAGCAAAGGGCAACTTTTGGGAATCAGTTCCCATCAGGCTTTCTGGGCAAGTGTATTTACCTGCTAAGCCATCTCGATGGCCTCCAGATTCAGTTGGTGTTTTCTCCCTGAATCTTTGATCTGTGGTTGGTCAAACCACAGATTGCCAGCCATAGATATGGAAAGTTGACTGTATTTATCAGAAAAAGCATGGGGCTCACACAGCCTTTGCCCTTGTGATGTCTGAGACGTGAGGCAGTGTCTTCAGTTTGCAGTTTCTTGCCCTGTGGGATCCAGAAGGTCACTCATCATCAACTCCACAGCCACTTCTCTCCATAGTTGAAATTTTAATTAATTAACTAATTAATTTCATTTCATTTTACATTCCAATCACAGTTCCCCCCCAACTCCTCCCACAGAGTAAGGGCTCCTATGGGAGACAGTTGTGCAGTTGAAACACTACTTTCATTTCGATAAGGTATCAAAGCCACTCAGTAGAGGCCCAGTTCCTAATTTGAAGTGACCTATGATTAAATAAACCATGAAGACAAGAATCTTTCAAGTGATTATGTTGCTCAAAGCTTTCTGTTGGGTGTGGAAGACAGAAGGACTCTTGGGGTCTTTCCCCCTGACTTCAATGGAAGATTACTCGATGGACTTGAGTTTCTTCATCAGGGCCAGCTCAGGGTCACTGCACCTAAAGAGGGCTTGGAAGAAGAAACTGAGATAAACAGTGGCTAGGAGCTTGGCAGCCAGTTCTGTTAAAGTGCTTGCCTTGGGTTCAGGAGAACCTGACTTCTGTCACCAGGGCCCACGTTAAAAAGCCAGATGTGGTGGCACATGCTTGTAATATCAGTACTAGGGAGGTGGGGACAGGCAGATTTCAGGGGCTAGGTGACTAGACAGTGTGGCTAACTTGTTGAGTTCCAGGCCATCTGGAGACTAAGTTTCAAAACAAAACAAACAGACAAACAAACCAAAACCAAACAAAAATCATGTGTTGGAGAGAGCTTGAAGAATTTATACCTAAAGTTAATCTCTAGTTGCCACATGTGCACACAGGCATGCACAGGTGGACAAAGCCATTGGATGTTCATGAAAAGAGGCAGAATTTTGTGAAGTCGGGCTATAGCTACTGCATTTCTATCTTAAATGTCTTACCCTGAAGACCATGTGTCAAAGGTTTGGTTCCCAGCCCATGATTCCATTGGAGGGAGGCAAGGGGTTGAGCCTTTAGGCAGTCAATCCTAATGGGAGGAAGTCAGGTGGTGGTGGGGCATGCCATGGAAGGGACTCTCAAACCTATCTCTTCCTTGATATTCCCCAGTGGCAATAAGGTCAGGAAGAATGGAGCCAACTGACCATGGCTGAACCCTCTAAAACTGTCAAAACAGTTTTTGCTTCTTATCACTTGATTGTGTCTGGTATTTTGTCAGAGTGACAGAAAGCAGTAGCGTCTGGCTCTCTTCTGGATGGTAAGCTATATAGAAGAATGGTAGTGTCTTTCTGATATAGAAGCTTTTCTCTATTTGGAGAAGTTTCATTGTGACCCTGACATCTTGACAAAGTTGTCTCTGTCTTCCTGGGGTTGGAGAAAGGGACAGTGCCTGCAAAGTTAAGCCCCATGGCTTCTCAGAAGTGATGCTAAGCCTGTGTCTCTCAACCAAAGATTTCTGCCCATTATCACTACTGCTGCTGACCCTTCACCTATCTGTCTCTGCCAGGAAGCGAATGTGACAAACACCAACTGGTTCCATAAGCCCTGATGTAGACATCACAGGCAGAAGGTTCTGGAAGAGCCACCAGACAGCATTCAGTGGTCAATAACCCTAGTAAATTCATCCATGGAGTTCTAAAAAGTGTCTTTGCTTGGGCTGCCCTCTCTGAGGTTCTGATCTCACTGGTGTGTGGGGGGGGAACCCCAAGCTTTGGTGTCTTTGCAAAGTCCCTGGTGTGTCCTAAGAAAGTCAGGACTGAGACCATTGAGAACCTGAGCCTTGTGTCTGGAACTCTAGCAAGGACAACAACTGGAGGACATTTGATGAGAAGATCAGACGCTGTGGAAGAAACAAATGGCTGTGGGAAAACATCTCATTGGATTGACCTCATTTCTAGGGACAGCTACAGCAAATGTTCCAAACTGTAGAGTCAGCCCTGGTCCCACTTGAAGAAATTCTGGTTATGGAGAGACATGGGCTGAGTGCTTGAGGGGGAACTCCCTCTTGTAAGATGATGCTCTGTTTCTTTCAAAAATCTCCCAAGGAAGGACAGCTAACATCTGACTCACACTTGTTAGTGTACAACACCGCTATAAAGGGATGGGTTTTTCCTCTCATGTTGAATAACTGGCTTAACGATATCATCATCATCATCCTCATCATCATCCTCATCATCATCCTCATCATCATCATCACCCTCATCTCCAGTGCCCTGAGACCAGACACATCTGTGTAGATCATCATCCTCATCATCACCCTCATCTCCAGTGCCCTGAGACCAGACACATCTGTGTAGTTTATTGCATGCTAACTTAGGACAGTCCAAATCAAGTAGATATGAAATGGTGAGCCCTCTCCTGCCCCCTTTTCTGGTAGACTTGTGGAGTTTGTTTCTAGGGCTGCTTTGTTTATTTCCAAATCCTGTGGCTGGCTTATTTATCCACGAATGCCCATTTGCCCTGCCCACCTTCTTGTGTAAATGTCATGGAACAGGACTCTGTCCAATAGGAAGAGAGAATTTCATCGCTTTCCATAGTCAGTTCTCTTTACTCTCTCTGAGCAAGTTAGCAGTAGGCAAAGAAAGAGGTCACTGCAGAATCTGGATATACACTGCATGAAGATAAAAGCAAAGCCACCTGTAAAGCCAAAGCAAAAAGATGCTAGGCTCCTGAATCATCCCTCAACTGCGGCACCCTTACATCCAGGCTTCTAGAAGCAGGTGGGGTTTGAAATCCTTATTGTTAATGTCATTGTAGGTCTGGCTTTTAGCTGTAGCCAAGAGTGTTCCTGACATGTACCTTTTATTCCATGCTTTTCTGAAATGGCTTGGATCTTAATGTCTCCCTAAGTCCCTACACTAGAGGTTTCGTCCTCAGGCTGTGGTTCTGTCAGGAGATAGTGGAGCCTTTGGGAGCTGGGCCATAGAGGAAGGAGGCCAGGTCATCCTCTCATTACTTCCTGGTGACTATGACATGACCAGTTTTCCTCTACCACACAGTTCCCTCACTGGTGGTGCTTGATCCAGTCTTCCCCGCTGGTTCAACCTCCTTGGCTTGGCTAATCCCTATCTGTCTTTAGACCTCTACTTAGAAGGCACCTCCTCCAAGTTGCCTTCCTGGAAATCCCTATGCCCTAGGCATCTCTCTTGTGAGTTCCGTTGCCTTCCCTGCCCAGCACCCTAATCTCTGACAGCACATCTGTAAATTTGGAAGAGGTGGTGTGTGTCTTTGCCAGCTCTGTGCTGTTTTCAATGCCCTGGGACATTACTACTTTAATTGAAAACCAAATGAAACATGCTCATCAGTTTTCCCAGAGGTGTAACATATAGCTAGTGCTTAATCAGCGGTAGCTGCAGCATTCCTTGAGGCCTAGCTGGCTGAGTTGTCGACCACCCAACACGGTCTCCAAGATTCCACCTCATGCTAAGACAGTTGATTTTCATTGTTAGCAGTTAACCATGTCAAGAGGGCCCCAGGGCCCAGGCAGTTTCTGGGCAAAATGTTTGAACTATGGTTAGCCATAGGCCAATACTTGAATTGTGTTGGAGAGGGGGATGGTGGGGCAGAGAGGAGGGGCAGGGCAGAGAGGTCTAGGCAGGGAAAGAAAAGAAGACCGAATTCCAGGCTACACCCCTGCAGGGCATCTTCTCTCACCTGGGCAAACAGTTCTCTACAGTATGATCAAGAGACAGAGTTCCAGAAAAGACTTTGAGGTGGGCTGGAGAGATGGTAAGGTGACTGCCACCCAAACAGGAGGACCTGAGTTTCTAATACCCAGAACCCATCTCTCTCTCTCTCTCTCTCTCTCTCTCTCTCTCTCTCTCTCTCTCTCTCACACACACACACACACACACACACACACACACACACACACACACGAGGGGGGGGTAGAAGAGGGAGCACCTGAGGTAAAGCAACTGAAGTTTGTGCAAAGAAGTTCAAGCCAGTGCAGGCATAGGCACCAGCACCACCACCACCACCACCCCAGGTCCCCAGAACCCACACACACAGTCCAGAGGTTTCCACAAGTTCCTTTATTGATACAGCAAAATGGGAAAGAACTAGGTCCCTTAGTGACCACAGGATCGAAAAGTGCAAATTTACTCCAACTTCAAACGAAGATGAGAGTGACAGGCTTGACCACTGGGGCCATGGAAACTGTGTGATTAATATGTCCTTAATCACACAGTTGTGATAGCAGCCAATCATGTCTGATGAACTCTTTGGTCTCTTTTATTGGAATAAACAGGCTGTAACTGAGACCCTCAAACTGTATCCCAGTGTTTGGGGTCAGAAGGCACATTAAAAACAGCCAGTGCTGGAATGCTTCAAGTCAATTGACTAAGACATGGCAACCTTTTTTCCCCAAAAGGTGCTAAAATATTCCTGAATATCCAATACTTCCAAAACCAGATTCCATATCAGTTAGCTGCCGGTCTTACTCTATTTCCTCTGTGTACATGATCTGGAATTTGCCACCCTCTCTTGTCTTCCACTAGCATTATTCTCGCCCCATGTGCCATAAAAAAAAAAAAATAAACAGATGTGTTATAGACAAGCAATTAAAGAAGAAAAAACTAACACACCACAGGGGTAACATTGAACCAGTTTCTCACATGAGAGGTGCCAGAAAAGTGGGAGAAGTTTTCTTTGTGTAGACATGGGAAAAACCTCTTCATCAAGGTCAAATCCAGGAAGCACAGTTCTGTGGAAAATATGACTTCCTTTGGGAGGGGACAAGAGATGCTTTGGAAGTAAGCTCAGCTGGTGGCAATTTTGGTGGCAGACACTGAGTCAGAAAGGGTTAGAAATTCTGGAAGAGAAGTTGGCCAGTGTTCTTGGAGGTGAGAATAGTACAATGCCATGGAATTTGGCCCAAAGATGGAACACTGGCTGGTTTTTTGTTGTTGTTGTTTTTGTTTTGCTGGTGCTTACTGCCTTCAAACAACATTGTGAAGTCCCAGGCCAGGTTACCATGGAGAACAACCAAAAAAAATAAATAAATAATAACTTTCATATAAGAACCAAATACAAAGAAAACTTATTCTGCAATTGTACCTCATTACTCATCTGCAAGCACCAACCCTCCATCCAGGCCAAGAAGCTGACCCCAAATCACCAGCAAAGAAAAACCAGAAGTAGCCCCAAGTGTTTTAGTTGTGGTTCTCACTGGAGAGCCAGGCTTGCATGGGAGCCCTACCAGAAACTGGGGATAAATGTTATCTGCGGCTGTGTTAATTTTTTCTGTTGTTATTCCCATAATAAAGCTTAACTCTGAGAGATGAAGTAGAAATGAACTAGCACACTCCCTCCTATATATAACACCATCATTTCCCTGGCAAAGAATATAACCTTATATATACTTGGGGGGAAGGCTAACTGTAAGGCAAGGGGTCGCAAACTGGTGGCCTCAGGTTCAACCAGATTTCTGCTCTGTGGTTTTGGACATTAAATTACCCCTTAAATTAAAAGTCAGTGAGCTTCAGTATTGTAATTTGAAATACCAATTCCTAGCCCCACCTTTTCTTTTCCTACCTGGAGTCCTGTGGCTGCCCTCTTTAAGGTAGTCACAGTCTCCACCACACTCCCCACTCTTTCTTAGTTCCCTGCCTTTAGGCTACTGAGTTTGTGACTCCTGGCTGGAAACAGCACATACCTAAAAACACATTTCCTCACCCAAAACTCTCCCCCACCCTCCCGGGCATCTTTACCTGTCTCCCTCCTCCAGTTTCTTCCTTTCACATCCATCTCAAGTCCCCCTCCCCCAAATTCTCAGAATATTTGCATCCACTCAAACTTTCCTCTCTTTCCACTCCAACTTCATTTTGCAAAACACAGATTCTCCCAGCCCACGAACATTCCAGGAAGGCTTGGAGCTGGGCAGTGGGAGTCACTGAAGTGTCGGCTGCAAAGGGCTGAGTCATCTGCCTCAAAACAGTTTCTTTGGGCACTGGCTAAACAACTCTTTATTTTTTGGTAGAGCCATCCTGTATTAGCATATTGGCATATATGACTCTCCAGTACCAAATACACACCAAAAATGTGTACACATCAATTAGAGGCCGTGAAAGCGGCTGTAATGAAATGCAGAACTAAGCTGAATTTAAAGGCCTCGGGCAGCCACCATAACAGCCATATTATTGCATCTGTACACAGTACATGTTTCAGATCACTAAACATTGATCAAAATTGATCGAAATCTCTTAAGTTTTGGTTGCCACATATCGAGAACAACTGTTCAGCATGGCATTTAAATAAAACATTAATATTTTTTAATTCATAAACACAATGCCCATTAATTTAATAATAATAATAAAATTTAAAAGCTTTGAGGATGGATGAAACTTTGGTTAATAAACCAGAAAAAATAAAAATAACGGAAAAAAACCTTACAAGATACTTATACAAGCTATTCATATTTATGACAATAACCAGATTTATACTTTAAAATAGTATCAAGATTTTTTTTAAAAAAGGAATCTAATAATTGGAAAACTGCCTCATTGTCCCCTATTCTAAATTAATGACTACAGAGGAATCAACAGGCTGAGTATGGAAATCATGTGGACAGTATACACACAACAGATACACACACACACACACACACACACACACACACACACACACACACAAATCTTCCCTTGGCATTGACTTTTTAAAGTAATTAACATAAAACCTATTGTGCAGTTTCTATCCTTGCAAGAGGCTGACATAATGACCCCTACATTAAATGCCGTACCTTATGACCAAATATTGGCCTCAAAAAACTAGGAATGACCTTGGGGTATCAAGAGGAATGGTCCCCCAAACCACTCAATGAGACAGCTGCTTCTCTTTCAGTCCACAGATGAAAAGGACACAAGAAGCCAGCACAGCTCTAATGAGAAGTTCCCCACAATCTATTACTGCCGATTGCCAACCCGGTGCCCTAACGAAAGGGGGTTTGCAAAGTTCCCTCCAGATAGCTAAGAAATTAAACAATGGCCTTATTCATGTGACTATTTTTAGACAAAAACCTTCACTTTAAAGAGTCTAAGGGAGCAGATCTTTGCTATTTAAAAAAGAAAATTCCTAAGTATACTGTTGGCCACACTTCCCACTAGGAGAGAGATAGGTAGAACATTTTACACTTGAACTACCATTTGGAGCTGTCAGGAAGCCAGAAGAATGAGAGGCGCTGGAGAATGGGCTCTTCCCATCTGCAAGAGGGAGGCACCCAGCCTGGAGAAGCTCATGGCCGAGAAGAGCAGAGCACTATAGAGCCAGCTCTCTCATTCCTCCTTCAGCTCCTGTGGTCCCCACTCTTCTGCCCACTGGTGAAAAGTGACAGGTCTCCAAGTACATACTGCAAGCTACTATTTTAAAGGACATAAGCAGAAGCAAGAGCTTCTTCAAGACTAGGTAAGGTTGTCTGGGCAATCAAGAATCTTCCAACCACTACCCCAAGACAAGGCATCACTGAAGCCTAATCCTTCCCAGGCAGCATGCCAAGCATTTTCTCCTCATAGGTCCTTAAACTCTAAAACAGGCCTGCAAAAAGCACTGAAACTCACTTGCTCAGAAGCACTGAAACAAAGGCGGGTTGTGTCCAGCTGACAAGGAGCCTTACTTAGACAGGCTCTTTTTCAAGACTTGTGTTTCACACTTTTTGCCAGACCTGTCTTAATTAAGGATCTTTTTTCTTTGCATTCTGCCTGGCTCAAATGAACAGGTGCTGAGTGCAAATCCCCACCTGTGACCTGGAGAGTGTTGAATGGTGGCTGGCTGCTTTTCAGAGCTTTGGTCTTTCAAATAACTGCATGGAGCCTCCTTTGAATAGCTGCTGGTTCCAACCACCACTGAACAAAAAAAAAAATGCCTGGACATAAAGTGCTGCTTGCTCTGAAAGTCTCTAACCCGCTGGTTCCAACCACCACTGAACAAAAAAAATGCCTGGACATAAAGTGCTGCTTGCTCTGAAAGTCTCTAACCAGCTCCCGACCACCTCTTAGGGCAGGTCATTTGATTTATGACAATTCCATTAATCTTACTCAACAAACTTGTCATTGCACTATTAAATATACATGAATGCTCATGGGAATGGCTAAATTATGACTCTGGAATACTAACAGCTGGACTAGAATTTCAATTCCAGTTGTGGATAAGGATTTTTTTCCTTCCCCTTTAAAAACAAAACTAGGGGCCCAGAATGTGTAGCTCTGTTGTGGAGTATCTACCTAGCATAAGCAAGGCCCAGGATTCCAGCTCCATAATTGAAACAAACATACAAAACCCCTCCAAAAATAGTTGAGAACCTAGTATCTAACAAATAGGTATGTCAAACATGATTGCTTCTAATAATTTGAGGGCAGAAAGATGTGTAAGACCACCCAGGACACTCTAATGGGCCTGCAGAAGATACCACAGCTATCCTAGGGCAGAATATTTAAGCCAGTAAAGCCTTTGATATCCTCCAAATTTCCCAACACTTTCTACTGCTCATCTGGACTTTAACTGCCACCGTCACTCCCATCCTGTGGGAAAGGGGCATTTGGTCAGGTGGAGTGTAATCAGGGTTCAGGGTTCATCTTCGGGGAAGCCCTGGATGCGTTGACTTCGGGGTGTGGGGCACCTGGCAAGGTATCGGGGACCACCGTAGGCCCGGAGAAGCTGGGGCAACCTTCGCCAGATGGACAGCAACCGCGCTGCTGCGAGCTCCCGGGCGTGCAGGTCAAAAGGTGCCAGGAGGTCAACTGGAGCCGCCTCGCGCAGCGCCTTGGGCAGGGGGCCCACCTCAGCGGCCGCCCCACCTGGGCCCAGGACACAGTGGAAGAGGTCTCGGCGGCGCAGCAGGCAGTCCCTAAGGAACTTCACCAGCTTCTCCAAGCACTCACTCAGGTGTGCCTCGTCCCAGCTGTGCGTTGGGCCGCCCTCGTTCAGAAACACCGTCAGCAGCACCGTTTTGAGCACATAGGAGGATAAGATGCGTCCCCACTGGGTAGCAGCTGTAGGGTCCAGCCCGCGGGCACCCAGGTCTCGAAGAGCCTTAAGCAGCTGCAGGCACTTGAGGTAGCAGGCACCTGGAGGCGCCCGTTCCTGAAGCCAGCCCAGCAGTTTCTGCTCCTGGCGTGCTGTATTCACACCCCACAGTGCCTCAGCGCGCAGGCCACCGGGGAGCTCTGATAGGGCCCCGCTTGGCGAGGGTGGTGGTGGCGGTGCCACAAGGAAGACACCATCGCCCAGATGGACAGCGGGGATGAGGCGCACGGCCATGGAAAGGCGACAGCAGCCGTAGTCCGTGCGGCAAGGAAGGATATGGAGGGTGGGAGGCTGCTCCAGACCACCTGGAGTCAGGCTGACCCGACAGCGACCCTCCAGGCTGTAGCGCACGGTGGCCAAGGAGCGCTGTAGGTGCGCTTGGAACCAGCGCAGAACCAGGGTAGCTGAGAGGTGGCGCCGACCCTGCACATCCACACAAAAGCCTTCAGCGAAGGGCTTACAGTCGCGGTGCCACTGGCCTGTCGTGGTACCCGATGGCGAGGGCGGTGCCTTGAGGGCACACACGAAGCAGCTGTGGAAGGCGGGGGCCAGCGTGGGCTCGGTCCCCAGGCTCCGCGGCTCCAGCGCCACCTGCGGCGGGAGGCGAAGTGGCACCAACACGTCGAAGCTGTCTGGCCTGCGGATTTTATGCTGCTCGTAGGCACTGCCCACCTGGATGAAATCTCCCCGGAAGGCCAAGGCCAGCGCTCCCCCGGTGATGGGACCTGGAGACCCTCGAGCCCGGCCAGCCTGCACCAGTTCACCCACGATCCGGCTCACGTGCGCCTTGCTGTGACCTAGCACATGCGGCGACAGGCGCACCTCGTGCTCATAGTAACTCTCCAGCAAGATGCTCAGGCCTGGCTCTTGCAAGGGTCTGGCTGAGAAGTTGGCGTGGCCACACGGGCGGGAAGAGCCTGGCAAGAGGCGCTGGCGGATGGGGTGGGGGGGTAGGAGGATGTAGAGGAGGAGAAGAAGGATAGCCACCTTGAGCAGCGGGAAGCCGCTGTCTGCACCGTCGGGGGACTCGGCCCTGGCGCCCTCGCTGCTGCGCAGGGCATGGTAGAGGCACACCAGCGCTGTGCATAGCCCGGTCACCACCGGCCAAAAGACCTTCAGGTTAAGCGTGTACCGCACGGACATGCCG